CCGATTTTATACTGGTTCGGGAAACCCCTACTCCAGTACCTCGAGGCTCCTCCTCGAGGATTTCCGAATCCACTAAGTCTCGGCCTCTTGAACTCCGTCAAAGCACCGCACTAGTTTTGGCAAACAACCCTTGCCAATAGGATTTACTCCGAGATTTCACAACGGCTATCTCGAACCGTTTACAATGAAGATTTAACGGCTATCTTCTACCGTTCCCTCAAGGATTTCAAAGGCTATCCTTGAACCTTTACCCAAGGATTTTTACGGCTATCCTTAACTGTTACAACATGAGAATTTAACGGCTATTCTCGACCGTAAGAAGGTGTGTTTGAAGAACACGAACAAAGGTTCTACACAACGGCTTGAATATAAAAATGAAGAACAAAACTTAGCCGGTGTAGAAAGAAGGTATACTCTCTCAAGAATACAATTCAAACTTATGAATATGAGAGTATATAACTAGAAACACAAGCTCAAAGTGTGTGTATAAAAATAAGGAATTTAAGGCTCTTAAAATAGCCAAACTATTTAAAATAATTAATAAAAGGATGAACACACTTAGAATAAAAACAGAGGATGTTTAGAGCTTTGTTTCTTGAAGAAATATGAAGGATTAGGCTTGTATTTATAGTGGAAGATGTTAATTAGCCGTTGGGAGGTGATTAGGATTGATTAAATTCAAAATCAAAAATCAGGAACAGTAATCCAACGGTCACGGTAGGCCGGTACCGTTCACACGGTAGCATGGTACCGTGCGTACGATAGGGGGGTACCGTGAGTGGCGGTACCTCGGTACCGTGTAACACCAAAAATCCATTCGGCTTTGGCGGTACCTGGTTAGGACGGGTTGGGCCAACCATCTACGCCTACCGTCCGGTACCTAGGTACCGTTAAATGGTATGGGGGTACCGTGTAGGCGGTATACCCTACTGTTTGGGGTACCGCTAGGGGTACCGTGCCACTATCCTGATTTTTCTAAAATTCCCTTAATCCTTCGTGTTTGAGTTTAAAACCTTTAAGATGTTTGAAAATGTTTATGGGATGGTTTTAAACATATTTTGTGAGTGCTTTTGAGCTTGTGAATATAGGTATATAAAGTCATATCCTTACATCGGTTTCTACCTATATTCTACGCTAGTTTAGTGTTTCGACTTCGTTCTTGAGTACCGAATCTTAATGGATTCTTGTTTTACCTGAAACACTTAAACAAACGTTAAGCTCTTATATTGTTTGTTAACATCAAAACATGAGGCTTAGCAAACCAAGGCTAACACAAGCCTCAACTTCTTACAACAAGACTTGAGTCACACAAGTCTTAACAACAACCAACAAGACTTGAATTACACAAGTATTAGCAACACTCAAACAAGATTGAGTTTACAACACAAGAATGAAAGCTCACACAATTGAGCAAGAAGGGTTGAAAAAATAAAAGCTCTATGGATGACAATATCTTTAGCACTCAATAAAAATATTTCTAACTCTCAAAATAATATATTTGATGAGGAAGATGGAAGAAAGAATTGAATATTGAGCAATGAAGGTTTAGAGTGCAAGAGATGTGTATTTGATGAAGGAGGATGAAAGAATTATTCGAGAAGAAGAACTCTGTATTATTTCTGTGTCTCCAATGTACAACCAAGAGTTACATAGTGGAGAATCCTAGTTAACAGAGGAAAAGGAATCCCTATACAAGGAAACCACTAAAACTAATATATACGGAATAAATATTCCCAGATCTTCTCTTTCCTTTTACACCCCCCTCAAGTTGGAGCATTTAACGAAGAGATGCCCAACTTGGGTATAAGAAACTCCAGTCGTGACTTCCCAAGTACCTTCGTGTGAATATCCGCAAGCTGGTGCATTGTAGGAACATGAAGAGCACAGATCTCTCCTCGTAATAACTCATCACGAACGAAATGACAATCTATCTCAATATGCTTCATTCGTTCGTGAAAAACTAGATTAGCGGCGATGTGAAGGGCCGCGGTACTATCACAGCGAACCGTCATAGGGTCCTTATGCTCAACTCACAAGTAAGAACAGAAAGAGCCCTGTACTCAGCTTCAGCAGACGAACGAGCCACCGTTGTATGCTTCTTCATCTTCCATGAGACCGGCGACTCGCCAAGCTGTACAAACCAGCCCGTTAGCGACTGCCGTGTCAAAGGACACGCTGCCCAGTCCGAATCACACCACTTTGTAAGCTGAAGACTACTATCTGCAGAGAGGAAAATGTCGTATCCAGGACATCCTTTTAAAAAACGAATGCCCCCAAGTGCCGCAGTCCACTGATCCTCCCTTGGTTCCTTCAAAAATTGTGCTAAATATGCACGGCATAGGAAAGCTATGGTCGTGTAACAGAGAGATAAACCAATCGTCCTACCAACCGTCGATATGGTTCCGGGTCTGCAAGGACTGGGGCTTGGGAACGAGCCAAGTGATGATTTGGCTCCATTGGGGCACCCAACGGCCTAGCACCTAACAACCCCGCCTCAGTAATGATATCTAAGGCGTACTTTCATTAGCAGAGAAAAATCCCAGATGTGCTTCGTGCTACCTCGATGACAAGAAAGAACTTCAAAGTCCCCAAATCCTTCATACGAAAACAATCTGCCAAATAATCCTTGAACTTGCGTATCATCTCGGTGCTATCACCAGCAGTAATCAAATCATCTACATAAACCAGAACATGTATCACTCCGTTCTTTCCAACGAAAGAAAATAAGGAGTAATCGGAGACAGACTGCACAAATCCATATCTTCGCAATGCTCCAGATAATTTTGCAAACCAACATCTTGGAGCCTGTTTCAAGCCATACAGAGACTTCTTGAGTTTGCACACCATATTGGACGAACTCGAGAAGCCAGGCGGCAACCTCATATACACCTCATCGTGAGGATCTCCATGTAGGAATGCATTGTGAACATCTGATGCAATTCCCACCCTTTGACCGCTGCAACTCCTAAAAGAGTTCGCACAATAGTCAACTTGACTACAGGAGCGAATGTTTCTTTGTAATCGATGCCCTCAACATGGTGATTGCCGAGTATAACAAGCCTAGCCTTGTATCTTTCCACACTTCCATTAGACTTGCGCTTGATTTTATACATCCATTTGCATCCAAGAGCCTTCTTATGATGTGGGGGATGAACAAGAGACCACGTCCCATTAGCCTCCAGAGCATCAATCTCTTCTCGCATGGCCTTCCTCCATCGCTCATCCTGGAATGCATGTTTGAAGTTTCTAGGCTCAATGTCTTCATCAAGTGCCGTGAGGAAGCACTTATATTTCTCGGAAAACTTCTCATAAGTAACATATGAGGAGAGTGGATATTTGCACTTTCCCTCAACAAGCGGACCGGCCACATGTGTAACATAGTCCGCAATCCTCACACTTGGTCGTCTTTCCCGTTGGCCACGCCCCAAGGCCTCTGTTGCTTGCTGGGAAGGGGACGGTCGACCGCCATCCGTGGAACGGTCCACGGGGTCGACCGTCTATGACGGTTCCTCACTGCCTCCTTTCTGCCTTGGGAACAGTCGACCGTTGTTCTCATCACGGTCGACCATTTCTTCATCTCCCTGGAGTCTGTCTCTCTGCTCATCGAACGGTCGACCGTGTCTCTCACTTCGCCACTAAGAACTACCAAACGATTCATATAGAATAAAATTCCATTGTTCACTGTAAAGTCTTGTCTCTCCCCCTTCGAGACAAGCTCACAAGTCTTTAGGCAGTACTCATCATGTTTTTGTGAAGCATGAATTTCGTTCTCAAGGGTTGGATGGACTCGGAGTTCAACTATCACTTGATTGAAATAAACACTTGCTACACTTGAATACAAAATTAGTTCCTAAAGAACAATGCATAGAACAAGTCATACACTTCATTTAGTTGCCTATGTCTGGTTGAAACAAATATTTGGTAGACTTAATTCCAATAAACCTTTGCTACACTTGATCAGAATATGATATACTTTTACAAAAAGCAAAAAATGTGTAGTCCCTATTCTTTGATTGTTAGATACATCACTTGTCATTCTAGGCCAACAAAAAGCAAAAAAAATTGTGCAAAAGGTTCACTTTGAAGTATATATAGGAATTGTACCTTTCCTTGGCCATCTTTGCACACACAACAAAAAAGTACTTAATGTTTAAGTACTTACATATGTTCCTCTAAGAACTTTTGTGCATTCTCATACACTTCTGTGCTTACTCCCAAATTCTGTAGTAGTATTCCTTGTCTGGCCAGCTTACTTTTTGCCATATGAGGAATTTTGAATTGGTTTCATCCATTGTGAATGAGTATCTAACCCATCACCCCTTGTAGAGTTAACAAGACATTGTTTAGTTTGTCAGGTGATAGTTCTTCAAAGGTTGTTGTAACAGAATTAACCAACTTTGGCAATGACCTAGGAGCTGTTTGGTCTTGTACTGAGTCAATGGATCTAAAAAATCCTAGATCAAGTACATTTAGATCAGGGCTGTTGGGGGGCTGGAATTTTAGTTGAATGTTCCAGTCCCCTTCTTGAGCAGTTGCTACAATTTCAGGGTCATTGCCATCCAAATGAGGCTTAGCATTATCTTATTGGATAATAATATCCCTTGATGACCCAGGCCATTTTTTCTGCTTAATTGCAGGTAACAATTTAGTGAGTAACTGTAACGCCCCAAAACCCGGCTTAGTATTTTTAAGTAATTTATATATAATTAATTAATTACTGAGTCGGTCAATACGAAGATTATTTTCTAATTTGTGTATTTAATTTTGGAGTTGACCTACATTGTAGGGCACGCTGTTCTGAACACGATCGCGCAAACGGATTGAGAATCGGACCTACTAGGCCCAAGATACAACCACTGAATAAGGTAATTGGGCTTAAACATATCCTAACCGGTTAGAAAGTGCAAACTGGACCATAAAATATAATTAAATTTTATTAAATAGGAAGGAAGGGGTTACATGACACGTCTCTCTATCTCTTTTACTGCGTTGGTTCGTTTCCACTGCTCTGTTCTCGTTCGACTTTCCCCTGCCCGGTTCCCGTCTCCGCTCGTCAGCCAGCTGTAGCCACGCCGCCGAGCAATTCTGCCTGGGCCGTTGCCATCGTCAAACGCCGTCGGAGACTTTCCTCCTCCGTCGCGCAGTGGACTCGGCCGAACCAGGGCAGCGGCGATCTCCCCTCTCTGATTTAAGCTTTCGTCGTTAATCGAGGTGTGATTCGTTGCCAATATCTATCGTTAGCGTTAATTTGTAGATTAGGATCTTGTTTGTATCAATCTTGTGTTTGATTGTGAAATATTTGGTGGATTGTGTGTTGAATTGGATTGGGGGATTGATTGGGGGCTGTCTTCCGGCGGTTTGCCGGCGGCTGGCCGGCAATGACTGTGGCCGTGGTGTCGGACAGTTTCGACGGGTCCAATTTTGACCCAATTGGTCCGATTTGGACCCAATTGGTTCAATTCGGGTCCAATTGGGTTTGTTCTTGTGCAATTGGGTCTAATTGGGTGGGAATTGGGTTGTTGCACGACTCGTTTGGGCGAACAGTGCGTTTGGGCTGTTCGGGCCGGTTGGCAGGGCTGCCCGGACCGGCTGTTCGGGCCGGTTGGTGGGGCTGCCCAGGCCGGTTGACCAGGCTACTTGGGCCGGCCGTAAGGGGCTACCCAATTGGGGCAGCCGGTCAGGTTGCCGGTCCGGTGGGTTGTCGAGCTGATCCACTGGAAATTGAAACTGTTCCGGCGGGTGCAGTGGGTCTAAGGATAAGTCCTTAGTCCCGAGTTCAGTGTTGGGTTTAGTTTTGTTGTTTGAGCATGACGGTAATCGGTGAGAAGAGATTCTTCGGATAGGCCGCTGAGTGTGTTGTTCTGTTTATGAAAATGTTTAAGTGTTTGTTATCACTTGAGAACTCTGTTGAAAATTGGCCACCTAGTATACCTAGGCGGATCTGAACTGAATTGGATAGTTTAATCACCAATAGGATTGTTGTTAGGTTCGGGCCTTGTGGAGCATGTTTGCATATCCAGTGGTCCAGGGTTAAAAACGTATGTACGGGAGTCACTGTTCTACTTAAGGGATTCCTTGGTAGAGACTCCAACCCGCCCATTGAGGATTCTCTTTGGGTTTGTCCGAGCATCGGCCTTGAGGGATCCGCTCGAGTGTCTGTAACTCTAGTCTGTTGAATTTAGCCTTAGTGTTGTAGGGACAGAAATAGCCCTTTGGAAATAAATGAATTGGAACTGTTGGATCCTTGTAACCAAAAATAAATGTTGGTTGTTCACTGATGTTGTTGATTATATAAATGTGATACTATCTGTGAAATTGATTCTAGCGTTAGATGTTTCTCACTTAGCTTATCGCTGAGCGTGTAGTTTGTTCCGTCTTTCTACACGTAGGTAATAACAAGCTGGTCCTGGAGAGCACAGAGATGGAGGAGATGTACGGATGCAGGACTCAAACCGTTAACAGATATGGTGGTTGTAATGTAACTCGTTTTCTGATAATGATCTATTTAAGATGTTTATTTAAAATAACAGTTTTGCTTCCGCGCTGTTTTGAATTAACTCCGGTAAACGTTTAAGTTTTAATTGAAATGTTGGATGTTTTATTAAATTTTTTTAATTTATTGGAAATATTGTGTGTGGATACCAATTTAGTAGCAACCCGGTACGCTAACCTATTTATTCGGGTTACGCGAGTTGGGGTGTTACAGTAACATTCTCTTTTAAATAAAAAAAATTTAGTGAGTAACATTTTTAAATTTATTTTATTTAAAGATTAATATATAAATAAAAAATAAAACTTTCATATTTAAAAATCTCAGCAAAAATTCCCTTTGGGCCAATTCTATGGGATCGCAGAGGGAACGAAGATACCATTCCTATAAATCGTTCATCCCGAAGAACTGAACGGCTCATTTGTTCGGCGATCATGGGTCGTGGGGGCTTTTCCGGCGGTGGCAAAGGAGGAGGAGGAGGATCTCGTCCTGCCTGCCGTTCAAAGGCATCTCGCGATGCAGAAGGTAATATCTTAATACAGCGAGCTGCTGCTAGCAATGGATTCAGGTCTACTTGGGAACGTATTTGGTATGGGCCTGACAATAGTCATGAAGACTTGTGCAAATCCCTTGTGAATAAATTTGAATCGTGTGTAGCTCTTGGCGGAGGAGACAGAAATGATAGATTGTGCCTGGACCATAAGAGAGCGATGGAAGAGCATTGTGATGAGTTTAGGTCTTCTTGGAATGATTGGTGGGCAAAAGATAAGAAAAGAAAGTGTGATTTAATGTTATTAGGTTTTGGATGGTGTTTGGATAGGCACGGCAAGGAGTCAAAGCAATGCCAATTTGAAGCTAAGGAGCTTAAAAAGTTCTCTGATATAGAAGTTTAATGACAAGCTGTTTTCAACATACTTTATTGATGATGATCCTAATTGTCCTAATTAGTTACGGAGTACTACAGAGTATAAGACTTTGGAATCTTGGATGAATAAAGGGAAGCCATTTATGCAAGGGAGCAACTATGCTTTTTTGAAGAAAAAAAAAAATCTCAGCAAAAATTTTACAAAACAAGATGTGATAAGAATATTTTATCTTATCAAATAATCAACAAAAATAAAAAAAAATTCAATTTTTTAATTGTAAAAAGTGTAACTTTTATTGCACAATATTTTTGTTACATCTTATTTTATAGAATTTTTGACATATTTTTTTAATACATAATTTTTATTCTTTATTGATATAACAATTTGTAAATACAATGTCACCTTTGCTCAAAAATGGTCAAAGAATGATCTTTTTTGGATTCAATAGAATTATTTTGTGAATTTTCAAATCCTAGGGTAGACCCTAGCCAGTCCGGACCAGGCTGGGGTTTCCTGTATAGAGTCACCCATAGATGACGGGGGCACAGTACGAGATAATGGTGGATTGAGAGAAGCGGTGATACCCTCTACATTTTCTTTAATTTCTTTTTTATATTTAAGAAGTCATTGAAAAGACTAGACTAGTACTCGTGCGTTACAGGATCAATAATAAACTATATAATTAGGAAAAGCATTGATGAAAAGAAATGATAAAATTAAATTATAATAATAACATATAATCAAATAATAAAGAAATTGTAAATACTATATATGGTCATCATGAAACATCACTTCCATTGAATCTCTTCCTCTTGCCCAAGCCGGAACAAAGTAGACACGAACAACTCGTAGCATAAGCATCCAAGTGGTTCAACAATTGTCAATCTCGGCAAGCGCGTTCCACATACTCTTTGAATGTTTTGAGACATTTTTTGAAAGTGGGCCTAATTGGGATGAGAGGTATGAAATGTTTGGAGTATAAGTAGTATATATAATTGGACAATCAATCTACTCATTAAATATCTTGATTTTGTAAATCTATTCCTTTTATATGATTTGACAAAAACTATGTATAGAGTCACGCACCAACTTTACTACGCACACGGTTCCATAGCAGTACAATACCCATTTGTTTATTTTTAGTTGACATAAAGTTTGCATCGAGCCACGCACCAATATTCCTACGCGCGCGGTTCCATACCAATACACTACACATTTATTTATTTTGATTTGAAATAAAGTTTGCATCAAGTCTAGCACAAACTTTACTACGCACGCGATTCCATAGCAATACATAACCCATTTATTTATTTTGATTTAACATAAAGTTTGCATCAAGCCACGCACCAACATTACTATGCACGCAGTTCCATATCAATGCACTGCGTATTTATTTATCTTTATTTAACATAAAGTTTGCATCAAGCCACGTACCAACATAACTACGCACGTGGTTCTATATCAATACACTACCCATTTATTTATTTCGATTGGACATAAAGTTTGGAAAATGAAGTTATTAATCTATCCATTAAATGCTTGGAAATAGAAAAAGTATAAATTAAATGGATTTGACATAAAGCACATTGAGCAATGGGATAGATTTGACACTACTTTTACTTTATGGAAAAATGCACCCATTATTTGACCTGAAGATGTCCAAGCTAGCAACCGTGTCAGTCAGCCCATTTGGCCCGGTTCATACCCGAACTCACTACCCGTCAGTTTTGTTGTATTTAGGTGCCCTAGCGGCAATCAAATACCTATGTAACTGTACACTTTATCATGAATGAAAGGCCTTGAAGTATGTTTTATATCTCGTGTAACATAACATAGCTTCAGTCCATAGACGATAGCGCTTCAGTAACATAGATGAGGACTACGATGTTCTGATTATGAGACTGTTACTTCTTGACGAAGGCTATGTCTAGAATATCCCTAGTCGCACTTTATGATAATACGGACGTCATAACGTATCAAGACTAGTACGTACGAGATGAGATAGTTGCGTCTCATAGACTATAGGTATTGTGATATCTTAATCTGTACGTAGGTGCATATTATATTGATAATATGTGACTGGATTGACCCATCTTGAGAATACTGCATGGATCTACAGTAATGTGTTTATCAGTATTCTCAAATCGACCTTGCTATAACTATCCTCAGACTTGAAGTTATTACATTCTCTGATATGTGGGGCCGTATGCTTTGATTCATAACTAATGCTATCTGAAATACTGGTAGACGTACAGTTATGCGTTGGGTATGCCGCTAAGCATATTTAGAGATGTGAATAACAGATACAGGATCTGTCCCTTCTACTGTATAGAAGTATAATGTCAATGGGCCCACTGAATAGTAGGACTTGGGAAAGTGCATGGCCATGCCCAGATATGTCGCTATCTAGAGACTGATAAATATATGATCCCTGCCAGTCTACTTGAGATTCAGTAACAGCTGATTTAACTATACAAGGATACACATCCCATGCCTTGTGTTAAATCATGACATATAGGACAGAAGGATAATAGTTATAGAACGTCTTGTGTCGTAGAAGGTATTGATGAGATGAACGTCTTTTTCATAATCTGGGGATAATAATGTGTTGCTAGATACCGCTTATTATCTATGGTATTAATTTATATTAATATCATTGCCAGTGTTTTGGATACCTAAAGGGTCACACACATCCCGAAGAACTGAACGGCTCATTTGTTTGGCGATCATGGGTCGTGGGGGCTTTTCCGGCGGTGGCAAAGGAGGAGGAGGAGGATCTCGTCCTGCCTGCCGTNAAAGTATTTTTTAATGTCAAATTGATATATTTGATTATTATTTGATGTAGGGATTCTATTTTGTTTGGTAGCTAAGATATTAAACATTTACACATGGTGTTAAGACATATACATGGACTTATGCTTAACATTAATTTCCTAGCAATTTCCTAAATATACTTTATTATAAAATGAGGTCTTGATTTTGAAAAATACACTACAATTTTCGGCCATCCCATTTTAGAGAGAAGAAAATTTTATTTTGTGTTCAAAGTTATTTTCTAATGTGTTAGAAATATACACAAAATATTATAAAGAAATATTTATAAGATAAATATTTTTACTATATATTTATTACTCCCAAAGTAGTATTATTATAGTTTTTACTATCCTAAATTAAACTTGCTAGCACAAGTTTAATCTAGGACTCCGGAGCAAGTTCGTGTGGATACGTTGGAGGCTTCATACGTTTGGCGCTACGTTCATCTCCTCAAAACCATCCCCGACCGTTCCTCCGTTCTCCATTTTCACCGTTAAGGTAAATTTCTTACTATAGCTAGTAATTTACATAAGTTGTTCTTGGGTGGAATCGAGTTTTGGACTATAAATTTTTGTTTTCCGCTGCGTTATCCAAGCCTCGTTTCCCAACAGGTTTGCCCACTAGGCCTGGTCCATACCCGAACTCACTACCTGATGGTTTTGGAGGGAACACTATTTCCAAAACCATCCTAGCATTGTATATAGTAGGATGGTAGGAAATATTTAAGGATCATTTGTGACCTTATGACATAGATTTAACCTTTTCCTTATGTCCATATACAGAATACTCAATAATTAATTTTTTTAAAGGAGAAAAATACTACAACCATATAACTTAGGGAATAAATTCTAAGTTATGTCATATACTACCTCTATTTATAGGATATGCAGAGATTAAAAAGTAAAATAATTTACACAAATATGACTAAAACATAGCCATTTTTTTCTAAATAGGACTATAAATTTTTTTCTCCAAAATAGGATCTAATTAATTAATAATTATTTAATAATTAATATTATTATAATGTACCAAAATGCCCTTTCAGGTTTTTTTGCCCCATTATGTTTTAAATCCTAATTCATTACTCTATTTATTCTCCGATCGTGCGCATCGCCGCCGCCACTATCCCCCACCGCCGCCGGTACCGGCCGTTTGCCGCTGCTGCCCATCATCTCTAACAATGTCCTTTTCCGGATAGACAATATGCACTAGGTTTAAAATATTTTTTCCATGAAAAAAATAATATTGTCCATAGGATTTCAAGTGCTTTCTATTGTCTCTTTTTCCATGAAAAAATAATATAGATTTATACGAAATATAATACATTTGCATCATTATTAAAATTATAATTTTTATTTCAAAATAAAAACTTCCCCCGTCCCTAAATAGATTACAAATTGCGGGTTACGAATAAAAATTTAGTACTTTTTGAAATCATTTTATTTACAAATTGGTATATCAATAAGATATAACAATTACATATTAAAAAACTACGTCAAAAGTTCTACAAAACTAGAGGTGACAAGAATATTTTATTTTATCAAATACTTAATGAAATCACATAAACAAACAAAAGTTATCAAGAAGAGAGAGAGAGAAAAAATTGTAATCTATTTAGGGACGGAGGGAGTATCATTAGAATTAGTTTAAAAACTTTCCAATTCTTATTTATTTATTGTATCTACTATTAAAAAATATTATTTTTGGTAGTTAAAACATGCATTGTGTGTGTGTGTGTGTATATATATGTGTGTGTGTGGTGTATGTATTTATGTATGTATGTACGTATGTATGTATATGCACATATTTAGCATTTCATCATTTTTTCTTTTTATTATCTTTCAAAAAAAATTAATTATATAAAGTACCGTATCTAATAGTTTAGCTACTATAAACTATTATAACTAAATTTTAGAGCATGAGAATTATTTTTAAAATACAATTTTTTTCAAAAAATATCATCTTTAATAATAGTCTAGCTATAATAAAATATCATATCCAAATTTCTAAAAAACATATAATGCATGTCATATTATTATCAGAAAATTAAAATAAATACAAATAAATTCTAATCCATATAACTAGTATCACACCTCGTGCATTGCACGGTTCTTATTAACGTTATAAATTTATATTGGTATTATTAAAAAAGTAAATAAGTACAACATATAATGAAATATAATGTTTTTCAATTGTGTAATACATAAATTATCTCCACCACATCTTCCTATTCTGAAAAGAAGGGGAAGATACATAAATTACCTACACCATACTCGACATGTACCTGATGGACAATAAATCCACCGAATGATCCAATCCAGGAGAATGGATCACGAGAAAATAAGAACAAGAACTCGAGAATTGTAAGTGTGTATTATTAACTTGATTCTGTTTCTCTTGACGGTTCCCCTTTTGGGTCCCCTCTATTTATACATGGATTTTGGGCAATTAAGGTAATTCACAATCAACAGGAGTCTCCTCCTCCGATAGCGCGATCCCCTTTTTCCGACTTCGTCTCCGTCCTTCAGCTAAGTCTCCTCCGGTAAATTGGCTCTGCCAGCTGTGTTTTGAGCTTGATCGGTTCGGGCCTCGTGTTGTGGGCCGGCCCAGATCCAAGCCTTCACCACACGCTTGACCCGGCGTCTATTGGATAATTAGTTTGGGCCACCCGCTGGATATCGGCGCATCACAAGCCCCCCAACTCCTCATTCCTCAGACGGGCCACGTTGAAGGATGGGGAGTTTACGAGGTCCACGTGGGCGCTCCAACGCAGATTTGGGCCGTTCATTGGGTTTTACATGATGTTTGGCACGATCTTCACTAAAAGTAATCATGGCCTGCTGTTTCGCCTCCCCTCTTTATGATAAAACAGCCGCTGGACGCCATTCTTCCCTACCTGCTACACTTGCCTCTTCACTTGTCCTTTTGCCGTTACTCGACCCGTTTTCCTTCGACTTTAGGTCAGTTTCTTCTTTCACCATCATGATTATCTCTGATTCTGACTCGGCTTTCCCGTCGTCCAACTCTCACCAAGCCGATCAATCGGCCTCTGGCCATGACCAAAGTCAGACCCAATCGCCTCAGCCATTGTCGGCAGCCGTGCCCGGCAACAAGCTGCGCCGACTAAGGAAGCAATCCCCCCCCAACCCCAGCACGGGAGGGCTCGAGGGTTAGGCTGGATGAGAACATCATGGCGTTGTGCCATTATCAAATCACTGATCGTGGGTTTTCCGATGCCATTGACATGGTCGGGCCCTCCATTGAAGTCCTACGACCCACTAGTACCCAAACTGCCCTGGACGCCCCTTCAGGGTTCTTTACTGTTCATCTGGCCTCTCTGAAGAAGGGGCTGCAGTTCCCTCTCCACTCACTGCTAGTTGAGTTCCTCAACGAGGTGGACCTCCTTCCTTGCCAACTGGTCCCTAATTCTCACCAGTACATTGCTGGTTACCTGATCAGATGCAAGAAAGTAGGGGTGAAACCCACCCTTGACCACTTCTTGTTCACCTTCAAACTGACCAAGGGTCATGGGGATTGGGCGTCCTACGCTAGCCTTTCCCAATGATCTAGCAAGCTCTTCATTAGCGACAAGAAGGGGTCGACCAAGGACTAGAAGCCCTTTTTGTCTTCGTCTCGACGGGGCCCGAATCTCCTTTCACGGGTTCAGGACTCTTATCCTTTCATTGCGTCCCGTGTCCCCCGTCTAATGCCACCCTTCTATCCATCACCCAGAAACTCTGTGGCCAGGGGGCCGTCGAGATTAAGAAGGTGGTGACCGAGGAGTCTCTAGCAGCGCTGGGGTTTGAGTTTGTCCAAGACGAGCATTGCCATCAGCCTGACCTGCTAAGGGACTTCCCTGGGGGAAGCGTTGATTGTGGCCCCTTTGGTAATTTCCTTCTTTTTATTAGGGATCCCAAGTTTATTTCTTTCGGGGATTAACCGTTCCATCTGTTTTCAGTTGAGCCAAAGGGGTTAGAAGAAGGGATGGACGGTGATCTTTTGATCGGCCACTTCATGGTAGGGAGGAAGAGGAAGAGGGATGCGACCCGGCAGGGCAAAGGCAAACGCTCTTCCTCGCGCGGCGGAGATAGCCCTCCACGGGAACAGATTGTGATCGAAGTGGAAGATCGGGATGACGTGGCTCCGGAGACGGGAACAATGGCGATCAGCTCCCCACCACGCTCCCTGATGCTGGGTGGCGGCCTGGTGGGGTCGTCTTAGAGGGCCCTCTCGGAGCGACCTCCTTCCCCACTTGTAGTGACCTACGAGGTGGCAACCGAGGGTCGCTCCACGAGGTTTAGAATTCCTCCTTCGTCCCCAAGTTTAGGGGACGTGCAACCGGACACCCTGGTCACTCTGTCCGCTCAGGATCGAGCTCGCATCTCGGCCGGTTCTGAGGATGATCTCAGTAACATGGTTCTTCTGAAGCTGAGCCTGGTACTCGCCTTAACTCCCTTCTTACCATCTTTCTGCCTTACATCCCTGACTCTCTAAGTTTCATTTAGGCCACGCTGGGCATGATCGAGCTCGTCGGCCGGAGGCAAGATCGCCAAGCGGCTATGGACGAGGCGAAGAAGGCTTCCAAAGATAAGCAGAGGGAGCTGCAGGAGGAGGTTGCTCGCCTTGAAAGGGAGTTGGAGGAGGATAAAGGTCGCTCTGCCAACCTGGTGATAGAGAACGCCTCCCTATCTTCTGAGGTGGGGTCCGTTTCTGCCCGTGTAACTGAGTTGGAAGGAGAGAAGGGCGATTTGATTGAGCAGATGGAGGCTGAGAAGAGCGACCAGGCCCGTCGCCTAGAGGAGGCGATTGAGTCCTTCAAATCCTCCCCTGAGTTCACGGCGGTCGCTATGGAATGGATGGACAAGCTGGTGGTCGAGTGGCTCAATATCGGGCCAAGTGCTCAATGGATGGTCAAGGAGGCAGAGAAGTCCTTCAACTGCAGACTCTTCCGAAACTGGTCTTCCGCGACAAGCTAGCTCGGCTTCCCAAAGGAATCTCCTTCCCTGACCTTGGTCTTCCTCCTCCTTGTCGTGCCTTCGCTGAGTTTGACCCTAGTCCTTACTTGGACGAGGAGAGTTTGAGCGCCACCGACGAGGAAGAGGAGACCGTAGTGCAGGGCGACCAAGATGGGCAAAGCGACCAGGTGCCTGGGGCCAATCTAGCGACCTCCAAGTCGGGTGGAGGCACCAGCTCGGGCATATGACCTACCCTATCTTCCCCCTGTTTTTTCCTTTAGATTTGTAAAACTTAATTATGATTTTTGAGATGCCTTGGCGTTTTGGCCCAATATTCTCATATTTGCTATTTTATTTTACTCGCCACATGCCTTTACTCTCCTTGTGCTTTGTTGCTGTACTCCTTCCTTTACATTGACTCGCCCTGTTGACATAGATGGGCCTTCAGCCCATGCCCAGCCTCGGGACCAGTTGCCGCCCAACTGTCCCACTGCACTCCTTACAACCCTTGATTGGACCATTGCGCCGCTCAAGGTTACTTTATCGGTTCACCTGCCTTGGGACTTAACCGTCCTTTCGGTTTCTTCACCCGGGGTTCTTTATAAGCCCCCCACTCTTCGTTTGATTCCTCCATCAAACACCTCCTTTTTCTCCATCTTTTGCCATGTCTGAAGAAGTTCCTACTTCTTTGAATCTTTTCGATGGACCGTCCCCTTCTTTGCCGGAACCTACCTCCTCCCCCAAGTCCGTTAATTCCAATGATTGGGGGGGCTAGACCCTTATGAATTATGCCGCCGGTTGACTCGCCGGCGGTGGCCGTCGGTTAAACCACCACCCATTCCGCCAAACCCTTATGATGACTTTAGCGCGGCGTCTAAGGCACTTTTAGCCAACCGGTTGCCAAACGGAGAGGTTGATTGGGATGCTCCATGCCCCATCCACAAATGGAATTATGCGGCTTGGAAGAGCGTGCAGGATGAGCATTTGCCCCTCTTGGATCATGAGGAAGCATACTACACGAGTCTAGGGCAGTGGACTAGCAACAGTCGCACCAACTAATCGGAACGGCCCAACAAGGAGGTTGTGGGGGGGGAGAATTGGGTTCTCCCTTACCACGTCCTGCTGATCGCTCTCCCCACCAGAAGACTCCTAAACGACCAGGAGTAGCTCGAGCTTCCTCAGGGTCTTCATCCTCATCTAGGTGGTGCCGATTGGGGCTCACAGAAAAGAGAGTCGCCTCCCCTCCTTCTTCCGTGGGAGAAGGAGACGGGGGTTTTTGTTGCGGCTAGGGGGGCGGACACCTCTGTTCCATGTTGGAGAAGAGAAGTGGTTGCTTGTAGCGACTGATGGCTGGGGTTCTGTCTGCCTAATTAGCTGCAGAACTACCCTTCATCTTGCCTTTTCCCCTGCATGTATTCTTCTTCCTTTCCGGGCTTCGGCCGCGCAGACTTTGAGTTTTCTCTCTTGAGTGCATGTAATATGTTTGACAAATGTTCTCAATTGTATTGGAAATGTAAATGCAAAAGGTGATTCTTGATGTGTAATAGGTATTTTCATGAACTTAATTCGATGTTACGTGTCTACTTAAAAGTCCCATCTTCTTTTCAAGTTATCCTTTGCACCTTATTTCAAGCATTTAGGTCTCCTAGCCTTTAGCTGGGAAAACCCCCCTGCTTCCCCTGGCTTAGCCGTCCCTGGGGCCTTCTTGCTCCCTCGGCGTCGCAATGTTCTTCATAAATCCCTAGTCGCCCAAGCGACCATTGGATCTCATGTTCTGGACTTAGCCGTTTCTAAGGCTTTTTCGCCACGGCGTCGCCCCTCTTGGATCTCTTAGACTTGGTTACTAACTGGGTTCAACACTTTCTTCCTTGATGGGTATCTTAGTGTGAATCACCATGTAGTTACTATTAGCGATCTCTTTTGGTAGCTTCCTATTAGCGATCTCTTTTGGTTGCTTTTTTTTGAACAATGAAATTCGAGAAGAAACGGGACCAGGAAGTGTCAAAATGCTGATTTTATTTAACTCAAGGGTGAAACATAGCAGAAGTACAATCTACTGATAAAATTTGATGAGATTGGCAGCGTTCCATACCCGCGGAACGTCGCCTCCCGCTGGTGTTTGCAGCTTAAAGGTTCCATCGGCCAACACTTTTTTTATGATGTATGGCCCTTCAAAACTCTTAGCAAACTTCCCCCCGTCGGTCGGCCGACTGACCTCCCTTTTCCTTAGGACCCAATCGCCCATTTTGAACTGCCTTGGTCGCACCCTCTGATCATGGTACGACTTAACTTGCCGACGATAGTTCTCTGCCCGGATGTACGCCCTTTCTCTTCGTTCATCTATGAGGTGTAACTCCACCATTAGGTTCTCTTCGTTCTCCTGTGCATCAAACGTCCCCACTTTATGACTTAGCAATGAGGTTTCAGTCGGAGCCCTTGCCTCGAACCCATATGTGAGCGCGAACGGTGTTTCTCCCGTGGCCTTCCTTAGGGTGGTCTAAGTCCATAAGATGTAAGGCAACTCTTCCACCCACGCACTTTTCCACTCCATTATCTTTTTTTCAAGCCATCTACAATGGTGCGATTAGTATTCTCGACCTGCCCATTGGTCTCTGGGTACCTGACCGCAGCGTAGCTATGCTTTATACCCCAACTCCGCAGAAACTCATTGAACCCCCTAGCCTCGAACTGGGTTCCATTGTCAGTGATGATCTGCTGGGGTACCCCAAATCGGCACAAAATTTGTTTAGACACAAATTTCCTCATCTGCTCTTCAGTGATGGTCGGTACTGGGGCGGCCTTGACCCATTTGGTAAAGTAGTCGATCGCGACCACCAGGTACATGTTATTTCCTGTTCCCCAGGGCAAGATTCCGACCAGATCAATGCCCCACCGAGCAAAAGGAATCGTCGTGCTGATCGGGGTGTAATTCGTTGTTGGTTGCCCTGGTACCCTTTGAAATTCTTGGCAGACCTTACACTTACGCACGTACTCTGCGCAATCTCTGATGATCGTCGGCCAGAAGTACCCCTGCAGGGTTATCTTCCTGGACATCGTAAAAGCTCCCTGGTGTGCTGAACATATCCCCTCATGGATCTCCTCCATCAACTTCTGCGCTTCATCCCTCCTTAAACATCTTAATAGTGTACCATTGTACGATCGCTTATACAACCTACCGCACTCAAGCGTGTAGCTAGGTGCGCGTCGCTTGACGACTCTGCCAGCGACCGGGTCTATTGGTATCGACCCGTCAAGGATGTACATGGTCAACTCGTCAATCCAGTCCAGCTCATTGAGTGCAATGACCAGAACTTGTCCGGGACTGATGCTTGGTTCAAACAACTCTTCTTCTTGAGTCATTGCCTTGATATGATCTAGGGAATCAAAACCAAGCTTCGACAAGATGTCCACCTCAGCATTTTATTCTCGAGGAACCTGCTCTATCCGATACGCCCCGAATACCTTAAGTAATTCCAGCGCGGCATCCCTATATTTCTTCATCCGCTCATCCTTTGCCTCAAATTCCCCTGTGACATGGCCTACAATCAATTTGGAGTCGCACCTGACCTAGATCCGTTCAACTTTCAGAGATGCTTCCAGTCTCAAGCCATAGAGGAGTGCCTCGTTTTTTGAGACCTTGAAACGGAATCTTATAGAGTAATACGCCTTAAATCCTTCCGGTGATATTGACACGACGCCTCCCACCGAAGCATCGGTCGCGGACAAGCCATCGGTGTATATGGTCTGCCAGTTTCCTTCTTGCTCTTCTGCGTTGGACTCTATTTCCCTCGCGGTGCATTCCACCACAAAGTCCGCCAAGGCTTGCCCCTTGATCGCTGGTCGCGGCTTGAATTCTATCTGGAATGAACCCAGGAATACCCCCCATTTACTAACGCGCGATGGGGCGTTAGGACTCCGGAGTAGGGTTCCAATTGGGATTTGGGATAGTACGTGGACCGGATGGGCTTGAAAAGTAGGGGGTGAGCTTCTTCACTGTACACACCACCGCAAAGATCGTCTTTTCCATATTTGTATACCTCAGCTCTGCCCCTCGCAATACTCGAGCCACATAATACACAGCGCGCTGCGTACCTTCCTCCTCTCTCACAAGTACTGAGCTCAAAGCCCGAGGAGAGATCCCCAAGTATAAGAACAAAGTTTCTCCAGGCTCCGGCTTCGAAAGTACTAGTGGAGAGAGGAGATATGCCTTCAACCCTTCAAAGGACCTCTGACATTCCTCGGTCCAGACGAAGCCTTTGCTCTTCTTTATGGCCTAGAAGAAGGGTGCCGCTCGATCAGCTATCTTCGATAAGAAGCGACTGAGAGCAGCGATCCTCCCCGTTAGTTGCTGGACCTTCTTCACATTTCGCGGAGGCTCCATTTCCAAGATTGCCTCCCTGAACCCCAAACGTGCACTTTTTCTGGGTTGAGGCGAAGCTGGGACTTCTCCATGATTCTGAACACTCTTTCCAAATCCTGAGCGTGGGATACCATCTGCTTTGAGTTGACGATCATGTCGTCCACATACGCTTCCATGCACCCCCTAACACTGGTGTGAACAAATTGTTGACCATTCGTGCATTGGTCGCGCCAGCATTCTTTAGGCCGAAGGGCATCACCTTATAACAGTATACCCCATTGGGGGTGATGAAGGAGGTCTTCTCTTCGTCCGCCGTAGCCATCCTGGTTTGATGATACCCACTGAAAGCATCAATAAAGCTCATCAATTCGCACCCTGCCGTCTCGTCCACCAACTGGTCGATGTTGGGAAGGGGAAAAGGATCCATCGGGCAAGCCTTGTTTAGGACGGTGTAATCGACGCACATCCGCCAGATGTTCCCTTTGGGTACGAGGACTACGTTCGCCAACCATTTTAGGTAACGGACTTCCCGGATGTTCCCGATGGATTGCAGGGTGGTCACTTGCTTAGTGACAAAGTCTCTCCTTTCTGAGGAAAGGAAACACTTCTTATGTTTGACCGGCTTATGGGCCGGATCTACCGCCAATCTGTGGCAGATGATTCTTGGGTTGACTCCAGGCATGTCCTCTGGACCCCAGGCAAATAACACTTTGAATGAATGGAGGACGCCCACCAACTACTCCTTTAGCTTAGGGGGCAGAGTTTTACCTACCTTTACCGTCTGCTCCGACTTGGCTGGGTCCAGGGCAACTTCTTCTACTTCCTCCGCCGGCTCTCCTC